CTTCCCTTCTGGTAGCCATTAATTGGTCTTACAGCCTAAAAGTTTATTTTTGTTTTATTTAACTGGTTCATTTGCTTGATTTCTCTCTATACCTACATATGAGTGAAATCATAAGGTCTTTCTCCATCTGACTTATTTCACTAAGCATAATACCTTCGGGGTCCATCCACTTGCTGCAAATGGCAGGATTTCATTTCTTTTTTAATAGCTGAGTGGCGTTCCATTGCGTGTTTATATACACACACGCACACCACATCTTAATCCAATCATCTGTCCATGGGCATCTAGATGGCTTCCAGCTCTTGGCTATTGTAAATAAGAGAATTGAGAATTTTTCTTTTAATGAAAGAGGGATAATGAACAGAGAGTTTAAAATGTCTTTATAGTGAAGCAGCGCCAACAGCACACGCATGGTCCCTGGGGAACAGCTGTTCGTGGCCACCTAGTTACGGGGCTCTGCTCTGTGCTACGAGAGTCCCCTGGCTCTCCCCTGCCATGGCTCTCCCCTCTCTTGTTCTGTCATTACCTTCTGTGTTGTTTACTGCTCTTGTATTCTGACCTCTTTTCAAACTCCTACCCTACAAGAATCACTTCTACATTCTCAGAATCTGCCTAGCCCAGAGCTGGAGCCTGAAGCCTGACTCTCAGCAGATGTTCAGGCTTTTTGTTTTATTTTTGTCTGAGAGGTGATGACACACGCCACTCATGTAATCAAGTATAGCAAATAACTGGGTTCAAGACACATGGCCCCAAATATGGCATCTTGGCATATTAAATATTTCAAGCTGAAGAAACTTGACAAATACTTTCTGAAAGGTGCAGGAAAGACTTTTTGATCTTCCCCTGAAACAGATCATAAAATCATCATGTGAGAGGTAGCCTTTGAATATCCAGAGGAAAGGAGCATCCTTATTCCCAAAGACCCAGGGATGCTAACAGGAATGCATGAATAGGCTTTACTGTTCCTCCTACTTTACTGTGCTTGACTGATACCCTTGAATATCTTATGACATTTCCCCACAACTTTCTGCTCTTTGTCAAATCTAGCATAAAAAACACCCAGGTTGAACCACTTCTTCAGGTCATATAAAACTTACATTTAAAAAATTCATGTATTTCTCTTGTTAGTATGTCTTTTGTTACAGGGCCTCCAGTCAAAAACTCAGAAGAGTAAAGGGAAAAGATATTTTTCTCCCTACACCATTTTTAAGTCAGCCTTAGGTTTACTGGAAATAATACATTGTAAACGAGAGATCAAAGGAAACCTCTTTGCAATCTTCTGTTCTCTTAAAGGTTGTGCCGAAGAAAAAAATAAAAAATGAAAAAGAATGGTGTGCCCAAAAGGGTCCACTCAGCATACCTGGATTGCTCAAACCCTGCACATTCCAAAGAAAAGTCTGCTTCTAGGAGTTACCCTTGACGGGTCCCTGGAGGCGAGCTCTGAGCCCTTGGACTATTTGCCCGATAACAATGTTTTGCATGCTTGATACCTTGGATTACGGTGTGCCAGTGGGACCTGGCAAGTGTATACAACCTATGTGAGTTATGGAGAATGTCTGTCTTGCTCTAGGGTCTGGAGTCTGAGTAGCTGATGTCGGTCACACAAGCTCTGTGTGCCCACTCTACTGGGAGGTGGCACCTTGGAAGGGAATCTCACACCTGGTTTCTCCAAGACTTTACTCCATGTGCCCTTTACTTTGGTTGATTCTAATCTGTGACCTTTCACTATAATCAACTGAACCAAGAATATAATAGCTCTGAGTACTGGGAGTCCCCCTAGCCTGAGGATGTTCCTGGGGATCCCCAGCATAGATTTGTGCCCTTTACCCCATACTTTGTCCAGAAGCATTTAGTCCCAGTGTATTACCTACTTTTATATTATAAGGAATCTTGGACACTGGTACTTTCTCAAATCAGCCCTCAGGATTGGTCAATTCACCATTCTTCCAAAGGGGCTGATTAAACAGACTAGGCCCTTAATACTTTTGGAATTAACAGTACCAGTCTGCTTTTTTAAATAGGAGACACAGATGTCGCTCAGCCTTCTAGCAATAGAATCAAGTCCATGAATCCAGGGATCAGTGGATATGGAAGTCCAGCCAATCCCTTTCCTTCTCACAAGTCTATTTCCCTCCTGCTTTAAGGCCACCCCACTCACTGCCTTTTGCCTGAGTCCCTTCCCTGTGCTCCTCCTTTGCACTTGAACTGCTCTTCTGTTTATGTGTCTGCCTGCCCCGTCAGTGTGCTGCCTGCCATGGGAAACACCACATGCATCAGTATGCTCTTGTACTTATTCATCATAGCAACCTTAGTGTAAATAATATCATTTCTATTTTAGAAATGCGGAAACAAACCGAAAAGGTGTAGATGCCTTTCCCATCATCTACCGTCAGTATGTGTCAGAGCCAGAATTGAAACCCATGACTATTTCACGCCATAGACTGAGACACAGTAGGCAGCACCCAGATGATTTTGCCTCAGCAAGTCCCCTTGGTTCCTTTGCTGGTTCTTCTACCTAGACCAAATTTTCTCAGCCAGGTCCATGAGAGAGGGACCTCTCGTGCATTTTGTGGCAAATTAAGATACCCTACACCTACTCATTTGAACCATTCGCTTTCAGTCCTTTTAAATCAGAAAATATTTTAAACCTCTGTATGAAAACATAATTTGGTTCTGAGCAGGGTCCTTTTTTTCTACAACTGTTTTTGAGGGTGTTAAGTCAGAAATGTAACATGCTGTCATATACAGTACAGGGGTATGATACTGCAAGCAGGCAGTTGGGGGTTTCTGAGATTTGTGACTGCCAGGCCACCAGAGGATTTTGAAGAGGAAATAAATATTTATGGCTGCTCCCTCTCCACCTCTGAACTAATGAAGGACAGATGTGGTTGCAGGAGGTGTTATAGCATTTTGCCGTAAGGCTTATGACAAATTCTTTCTCGCTCCCCATGAACTCTCCCAAATAGTCTTAGTAACCTAGTTATAGTTCTGTAGCATGAGCAGGTTAGAGTGTTTTTATTTGCATACAAGAACTGGGGTGTAGGCCAGAGGTGGGGGAGGAGACGATTCACCAGAGAGAGAGTGGGGAGCAGAACAGGCAGATTTTACTGAAATACACTGCTGAGGGGAGCAGTGGGTGAGACAGAAGTCTGCCGTGCCATGTGGATTAGCATCCTGGCTGGGAATCGAACTCAGGCCATAGCAGTGATAGCGCTGAGACTTAACCCCTAGGCCACTAGAGAGGTCCCAGTACGTTATTTTAAATGTTTTGGGATCAATGATTTCATCTGAGGTACCACGTGAGGTCTGTGTGCCACATACTGGGAAATGCTTACCTTTAAGACAACAAAATCTCTCAACTCAAAACATATACAAATTTTGGATTACAACTGATGTCACTATATACACTGTCAGTTCTATACGCCGCATTTTCAGAACTTTGAATTTAGAATTTGAATCCCCAAATCTGCTTAAGGGAGTCAGATTGCCCATTCTGTGAACACTCTGACCCTTCCTTTGTGAGGATTTGATGCGCTCACACATGTATGGATCTAGCCCAAGTAGCTAACCATACACACCCTGTAGTTGCGATTTTTTAAAATAACTTGCATTAGTAAAGAACTCAGTAATTGGAGCTACTGTCACAACTCTCCAGGGTTGGTCAGTCACAACCATACAACACAAATTGGCCAAGTTAACCACCATACAACACAAATAGGCCAAGTTAACACAGAGGCTTTTATGTGTAGAAATTTAAGTAGAAACAGGAGCAGATAGCTTTCAAAGTGACAGCATCATTAGTTACATGTGTGAAGTTTGAAGTGATGGGAACCTGGTGTTTCCCTTCTGTGTCTGCCCTTGAATCCAATCTTAAAAGAGCAATCCAGAAACAGCTGGTCATGAGAAAGCCTACTCACAGCCTTACAGTTCCAGAGAACAGATAGGTTTCACAACCCATTTTATTCATCTAGCATAACCTTGATACCAAAGTGCAACAGAGTACATGAAAAGTGTAGGGCCTCCCCGGTGGCGCAGCAGTTGAGCGCTGGGTTGCGAAGCTGCCCGCAGCCTCTGCAGCGCCGGTTCGATCCCCGGCTGCTCCCCGGCCACCGCCACCGGAGAAGGGTCCCACTTGGCACGCAGACCTCTCCTGCTGCCGGCTGCTCCCCTCAGCAGTGTACTTCGGTCCTTCTGCCTGCTCTGGCTCTGGTGAATTCTCTCACCCTCCCGCGCTTCTGACTGTACCCAGTGCATGTATAAACAAACAAACAAATAAATAAATGAAAATACATGCCTCTTTAAAAAAAAAAAAAAAAAGGAAAGTGTAGGCCATTGTCACCCATGAGGACATAAACAATTGAAAAAAATTAGGAATTCTCATGACCATACTGGGTTTACTCCCAGAATGCAAAATTGGCTTACAATATAAACTTACCAGTGTAATTCACCGTATCAACAGATTAATGGGGGGGGGGGATCATGTGGTAATCTTAATGTGCTGTTTGATACAATTCAATGTATTTAAGATAAATGTGCTTATTAGTAAACTAGAAATGGAACGACTACTCTGAAAAAGTACTATCTACAAAGAAGTTACAGTAAACTTCATGGTGAAATTTCACTTTTCCTTTTCTGATCAATAAGATGCATGTCCACTATCACCAGTTCTATTCAACATCGTACTACTGGGTGAGTATCCAATGCCATAAAATGAAACAAACTATGTTTAAAATGACAAGGAAAAAATTGTTTTTCAAAGATGATATGACTATGTATGTCAAAAACTGAAAAGGATGTAAAGATGCTTTTAAAATGATATTTCGCAAAGTTGCTCGATAGAAAAATCAATATATAAAACTACGTTCATAACAGAATTTCATAACAGAATATATAAAACTACGTTCATAACAGAATAGCTCAAAACAGAATTTCAAAAATATGTTTTTCAGTGGCATCAAATAGTAGTAAATCTAAAAAAAAAAAGATGTACAAGATTTCTGAGCACAAAACCTTTATTGAGACATTTTTAATAGTGAGATTTCCAACATAGTATGAGTAGTAGCATGTATTGGTCTCAGTTGGTCTCCATTTAGAACTTCAGCTGCTCTTCATCTGTAAGACATATAAGATGGGAACATTACATAACCGAACTGTGTTTAGATGATGCTAGACGCATATGAGGGATACTACAGTTTTTGTTTTATAAAATGAACTAAAACCAGAACCTTAAAAGTGAATCTTTGGCTTACAGCCAGTTAAACCTCTGCAGAGACTTTAAAGGTAGATTTTCAGGCACATTAATAATATTTGTTGAACACAGCACACTTTTTAGTTTACAAAGCAACAGAAAATATTCAATGGCAGAAAAGATTAAAACTAGTTAATCTATTCACAGAGGTAGTTTTATGTAGAAGGAAAAAAATCTGTATGCTTTTAGTAAAATCCAACCAAACAACAAATGAAAAATCTAAAGAACCTTTCGTAATTATCATTTGTTTTAACTGGAAAAAAAATTCTGACTACAGGACATCTAAAATAGTAATGCCATACTTAGAATTGCATAAATATGTAAGCCACTATCCCATTTGTTTTGGCTCTATTGTGTAAAAGTGCAAAACTGTTTCTGTGTGCTAGTTTAGCCATAATATGGTCATTTTAAACAGGGTGACCATTTGCCCCATTTTCACTCATACTCCTGTTATTATGAACAGTGACTGCAGTTTGCACAAAAGCATTGCCGTTTGTACAAAAATATTATATAGTCACACTAGTTTTAAGCCACTGCCATCAAAGGTAACATCCAATTGTGGAGGAAAAATAGTGCCATTTCTCAAAGTCTGGCTTAAAAAAGGGGGAGGGTGGGTGCAGAGAGAAAAAAACTTTAGAAGTCAAATATATTAATATATAATATATTCAATGCTTGTTAAGTGTCTCGTTTCATACTTCTTTTTTGCATATACTTAAGTATGTGTTTATTCAATGTTATCTAAACTAGTGGATTCTCCATTTAGAGATTTTCTAAAAGAGCAATCTCTTATTTGTTGGATAATTTTTTTCCTTTTTCTAATGATTAATACCTATCTTTTATTAAGTATCTCCTTCCTTTTCCCTTAGGTTTTTTTTTTTAATATTGTATGCTGATGCAATTCATTATCTTTCTTCTTTATTTTATATATTTTTTAAATCATTTTTCATTTTTGTACAATGTATGCATTTTCATCCTGGTTATAGTCCCCGTACAATTCCTACCACCCTTGTTTTGATCCTACTCCCTTCTCCCCCACCCCACCCCATAGTGTGTCTCTGATTTATAGTTGCTTGTTGATTTTGATTTTTACATTATAATTAGTCTTTTTCCTGATCCCTTATTTAGGTTTTCTAAATTCCTTCTATTAGTGAGACCATCTGGTATTTTTCATTATCTTTCTTAATAACATATACTTAAACCTATGAGCCATGTTCAGTAAGTACCTGAATGCAGACAGAAAACTATTCTTTTAATGCAAATAGTCTAATGAAATGGATGAGGACTGTACAGTAAAAACATTTAGAATACTCCCACCCTTCAAAAAAAACATTTAGAATACTAATGGAGGGCAATTTCTTCCCTAAACATCAAGTGTTTCCCTTTAAATTCAGCTGTGTAATTTTTAGTGGTCAGCAATTTGGAAAACATGCATAAAACACACTTAAGTTGATTACTCAAGCACTTCAGTTACGGTCTTTGAACTTCAAATTTTATCAACTAATGCCTCAAGGTGGAAACTTCACAACACATCTGACATGGTTACAGGTATTAAGCATGTCAAAATTTTATTAGGAACAGTAACTCATTAAGACTGACCATGGAGAAAAGGAGTGTGCTTTGCTGAAGTATCTTACTACTACACCTACCTCCAACATCACTGACTACTTGATCAGCCAATGAAACTAGACTATCCCTTGATTATTTTTATTATTCAGTCACTTGAGGCTTCCTTCAGGGAAGGGGTTTAAAAGCATTTTATTTTTTAAGAGCCAAAGAACTCAGAATTTCACAAAACCTTAAGACAGACATTCAGGATTCCATACCATACAGAAAAACAAACATCAATTCAGATGTTGTAATTTGACTCAAGTCAGGGTCTGATGATTTATGATAAAAACAAATCACGTGAAGCAGATTTTATTCGTATTCTAGCCAACAGAATCGGAGTATACAAAAATCAGAATTTAGTATGATTTTTAAATATCTGATTTGAATTCACTGTTTTTAAAAGCATAGAGATGGGTTTAGAAGCTAAGGACTTTCCCCAGTCACATAAATTATGGGAGAGCTGATACTACAATCTATTTCAGTCTCTATTTTAGTCTATTTTATACAAACTGAGGTTACAAATGAATTACATTATTTGTTAAAAGCAGATCTCTATGAAATATCTGAGAATTATTAGCTGTTGATTAAAGAACTTAGAAGAAAATGTTTTCATATTGTATAATTCACTATGGCTTTAACTACATTTGTTTCTGTACCTTATTTTCTGACTCAGACATTTGAAGTATGAACTTTATTTCAATTAATCTTTGTATATAGGAAGTTATTAAAGCAGCAATAATGTTGCTTCTATGATACTATAAACGTAAGGCTATAGAAAAGATTTATTATAATTTGATTGCTTAATGGTAACGTACCTAACTCCGGCATTTTAATGGGCTCCAGATTAATCAGGCTCCTCCCCTTGGCATGAGGCTCACCTCCACGATCACGTCCAGTTCTTGGATGAGTCAGCTCCTGCTTAATAGCTTCCAGATCACGGTCTTACAAATAAAAAGGTTATCAATTTAAGAAAGAAAACATGATATTAACAAGGAAATGAATAATTAGTTCACTCAATATTAAACAAAACCCTTAGAGTACGACTAGTATGATAATGTTATGCATAAAAATCACATTATTTCAGAAGTATGTTACCAGAAACTAGTAAAGCAAGGTTTTACTACCCTTTCCCCAAACTGCCCTCAAACTACTTAGGTGTTCCTTTGTACCTGTCATTATACTTATCTAAGTCTGACTAGACAGTGAATTTGAGGCTGAATCCCATTTCATTAGTACTTAGCAAGTTACATGAGTAGATAACAATAAACGATAGGTAGAAGGGGGAAAAAGCCTGAATTCCACTTAGAAAAAGTACCATAGGTAGCAAAATTATCAGCGAATAACAGCAAAGATACTGTCTTGCAGTGAGAATAAAGGAAGGGGAATGAAAAGAAATAGCCACTGTTGTCTGTCATAGTCTGGAAATCTCTGGTAAGTGGCCTTAATAGTATGTTTTGCGGGCCTCCCAGGTGGCGCAGTGGTTGAGTGCTGGGTTGCGAAGCTGCCCGCGGCCTCTGCGGCACTGGTTCGATCCCCGGCTGCTTCCCGGCCACCGGAGGAGGATCCCACATGGCGCGCAGACTTCTCCTGCCGCCCACTGCTCCCCCCAGCAGTGTACCTCGGTCCCTCTGCCTGCTCTGCTCCCCGCTCTGGCTCTGGTGAATTCTCTCACCCTCCCGCACTTCTGACTGTACCCAGTGCATGTATAAACAAAACAAACAAACAAACAAACTAAATAAAAAATAAATAAATAAATAAAAATCTTTAAAAAAAAAATAGTATGTTTTGCTTCAAAATGCTATATAGGGCCTCCCTAGTGGCCTAGGGGTGAAGTCTCAACACTATCACCTCTATGTCCTGAGTTCAATCCCAGCCTGGGAGCTACCCCACATGGTGCAGCAGACCTCTCTTGTCTTGCCTGCTGCTCCCCTCAGCAGTGTATTTCAGTAGATCTGCCTGTCCTGTCTTCTCCCCTACCGCCCCCCCCCCCCCCCCCCCGTCTCTGGAGAACTTCTCACTCCCACACCTCTGCCCTATACCCTATGCAAAAATTTATCTTTTCTAAAAAACTATACATCTGGGAGAAATAATTTAAGTTTAAGACAATCTTGTTTTTTTCCTGACCATAGAAAGATTTAACCACCTTTTAAAAGTCACTTGAAGCTGTCAAACCAAACCAGCTTATCTATATGCAAGATCCTGAATTATCCAGCTTTTATCAAACTAACATATAAAAAATTACAGAAACGACCATCATCATTCACTCATTTTTGGAGTCTATCCTACTCCACTAAACTCTATTCCTGGTCCAGTATTAAGCTACATTGTAACAGATATGTCAGTTTTAATCATTTTAAGAAAAAAACATTTTTTACAAAAACTTGTTAGAAAGATACAAACTTTGGAATGAAATACAAATTTTGTTATTTAGTATTCAAATGTTCTTTGATAAACAATCCTTGTGCTCAATTTTCTAATTTACAAAATGGGAGAAATGTATTATAGTGAGGGATTGCCCTAAACTGCAAACAATACTCTTAACTTTTCCAGCCAATTTTCAAGCAATGTTTGAGATCACTTTCTACTGTTTTCTTTCCTTCTGTTAATGGTATATCATGATGCTCTGCTCTCTCTCACACACACAGCATTGTTCTCTCTCCCTCACCTTCAATCACAGATGCTCCATCCTTTTTGTCTTGACCAGGCTTAACAGCCTCCATCTCAGTTGGTGGTTCCTCTTTTTGAGGTTGCTCAGTAGGCTGAGTGGCGTAGCAGTGTGTGCAAATAAAAGTTTTGTTATTGATGTATATTAATGATATAAAGAATGCACAGGGAAATTTAATCATAAGTAAATATAAAGGTATTTAATAATATATTCTTTGTGTAATACATTCTTAATGTTTCTCCTCCGATAGATTGTGCAATCTGTTGTTAATAAGTGTCAGAAGGCATGAGGTATATTTCCCCAGAACGTAACAGCATCCATTCAAGCAACACCAAAATGTCCTGAATCAATGTGTCTTGTCACCGTAAAATACCCTTTTTCAGTCTATCTGTACTAGCTCCACGGCTCCACAAAAATTAACTTCTAATAAACATTAATTATCAGAGCACTTACCCCCACAAGCTCAGGCAGCAAAGGTACTTTATCATCATCTCCTCCTCTAAGTTTAAATGGTGTCTTCAATTGCTCACTCATATTTCACACTGAAAACAGAAAATTGTGATTTGGAAAATGCACTTAAATGGGTAAGTGTATCTGACTACTTCTATGGCCAACTAGTGACATATCCTACCCCGCCTTCAAAATAATTAATTGTGGGACCTCCCCTGGTGGCACAGCCGTTGGAGGCTGCCCGCGGCCTCTGCAGCGCCGGTTCGTCCCACCAAAAAATAAAAAATAAATAAATAAATAATTGTGCCTGCTTTTCAATCAGACCAAATCTGGCAACTTGCAAATACAGGTTTTTGTCATGGCAAAGCCAACAAAGAAATCACCGTAAAATGACATGAACACATTTCTGATAAACTTTGGCTTCACAACTTGATTCTCCAAATGGAGACATTTAAGTAAATACCAGCGGCGGCTTGAGTACTACTTTTGACATACTCTTACTTCAGTAAGGTCGGCCCCCTTCCCAGTCTTACTGGAACATTCCCACACTCATTCATTTACACACCGCCGGTGGCTTTCCACACTCTAGTGAAAGGCTGCGATAAAAACAAATGTGCACGCACCTCCCTTGGACTCGGTTTGGAGCCGCTCAAATCTCAAAGCTACCACCTAGGCCCTTCCTTCACCCCTCCCCACCCTGCAGGTTTCTAGGCCCTTCCTTCACCCCTCCCCCCACCGACACCCCCCCCGAACCCTCCCCCCCCCCCCGCCGGTTTCTAGGCCCTTCCTTCACCCCTCCCCCCACGACGCCGATTTCTAGGCCCTTCCTTCACCCTCCCCCACCCTCCCCTGCCCCCACCACCCGCCCGTTTCTAGGCCCTTCCTTCACCCCTCCCCCCACCTGGGTTTCTAGAACTTTCCTTCACCACCCACACACACCCCGGTTTTCTAGGCCCTTCCTTCACCCCTTCATGCCCCCCGGTTTCTAGACCTTTCCTTCACCCCTCCACACACACCCCCCACACCCCCGGTTTCTAGGCCCTTCCTTCACCCCTCCGTCCCCCCCCACCAGTTTCTAGGCCTTTCCTTCACCCTCCAGCCCCCCACCGGTTTCTAGGGCCCTTCCTCACCCCTCCACCAACCCCAGTTTCTAGACCTTTCCTTCACCCCCTCCAACACAACACCCCCCCGTTTCTAGGCCCTTCCTTTCACCCCTCCAGCCCCCCCCACACCGGTTTCTAGGTCTTTCCTTCACACCCGGCCCCCCAGTTTCTAGGCCCTTCCTTCACCCCTTCATCCCTCCCCCCTGTTCCTAGACCTTCCTTCATCCTTCATCCCTCCACAGACGACCCCCACCCCGGTTTCTAGGCCCTTCCTTCACCCCGCCTCCCGGTTTCTGGGCCTTTCCTTCCACCCTGCCCCCGGGTTCTAGGCCCTTCCTTCATCCCTCCACCCCGCAGTTTCTAGGCCCTCCTTCACCCTCCACCCCCATCACGGGCCCCACTGAGGTCTCCAGAATCTGTGCTGTTGGCCATTACAGGCACCTCTAGAAATCAGATACTTAAAATAATGCCCCCCCGCCAAGATTTACCCCGCCTGCATCGGACCCCCACTCCCCATGACCCACCATCTCCCCCTGCTCGGGCCTCACCTCGACGACGACAAACAAGCATAATGGCGGCCAGGACACCAACCTCGAGGTCCCTCTGCTCAGAGACCACAAATAGCGCCTCCCCACACCCACCCAAAACCCGCTGGTTTACACCCCACTTTCACTCACATATCAACTCAGAGGACTAGCCCAGGAACCTACCCTCTACGTATCAGCTAGCAAAAAAGACTCAAGACGGAGAGTCGGTAAAACGTTCCTCACACAGCTCGGCGCCGGACGCTAGTGCTCAACTGCGCGTGCGCGCAACCAGAAGTCATTCGGTTTGCGCATGCGCACTGCGTCCCACGTGCACTGCGTGGGGCACGCTGCGTAATTTCTGCTACCTGTGGTGTACTGTGTGGGGCACGTTGCGTAGGATATACTACGCAGGGGTTCACGGGGGGTCACGTTGCGTAGGATATACTGCGTAGGGGTACGCTGCATGGGGCACGTTGAGTGTGATATACTACGTAGGGGTTCACTAGGGGTCACGTTGTGTAGGATATACTATGCAGGGGTACACTGTGTGGGGCACTTTGCATACGATATACTATATAGAGGCTCACTGGGGGTCACGTTGCATAGGATATGCTGCATGGGGTATGGTGGGGGACATGCTGCGTACGAGTACACTGCATAGGGTCTGCTGCGTGGGGCTCGCTGTGTGGGGGCAGCTCACCACTCTCTTACCTGGGCGTCACTGAGGACTCCCTACTCAGCCCACTGTCAGCAGTTCCAGTTGCTCCCATGTCTCAGATACCTCAAATAACTGCCCCCAAGACCTGCTGCATTTTCAACCAAACCCATGCCCACCAAAGCCGACCCTTGTCCCAGCCGGCCAGATCAACAAAAGCTATGGTGGCTGCTGGTGCAAAAAAACAAAATGCCTGCTAAAACAGAAACAGCAACATACTCCATAGTATTTACGTAAGACCAAGAGTCTCACAATCTAATGTTTAACATGCATAACATATAAATTCAAAATTACTCAGAATATGAAGGACCAGGAAAATCTCACTTGATCTGGGAAAGACCATCTGTGGACTCTAATGCAGAAAGGATGACAGTGTTCAGATTATCTGCATCTTTAAAGCAGCTTGTAAAAATACTTAAGTGAGCAATCATGAACACTTTTTAAATAAATGTAAAATTAGAAAGCACTGGCACCAAAAATGAGAAAATAGTTAAAGAAACAAATGAAAGTTTTAGAAGTGAAAAAATACAACCACATAGAGTAGAACTCTCGCTGGATGTGTTCAATAGCAAAATAGAGATGAAAAATATTTAATGAACCTGAAGATAGATCAGTAGAAGTTATTCAACCCGAACAACTCAGAAAAAAAGATTGAAAGAAAAACAAACATAACCCCAGGGACTTGTGGGAAAATACTAAAACATCTATAATTTTAATCACCGGAATCCCAGGAGAAGTGAAAGCCTAGGTGATTAAAAATATTTTTGAAGTAATAATAGCTGAAACTTCACAAATTTGGCAAAATAGGTAAACCCATAGATTCAATAAGCTCAATAAACACCATACAGGAAGATCAAAGGAAATCCATGCCCAGACACATCATAATGAAGCTGCTGATAACTAAAAAAGAAAAAAATTCTTGAAAGCTGACAGAGAAAAAGGACTGATTACTTCTAGGGGAACAGTTATCCAAATGGCTACAGATTTCTCATCAGACATGGTGGAGGCCAGAGGGAAGTTTCTCAACATTTTCCAAGTGCTGAAAGAAAAGAGTGTCGAGACAGAATTCTACATCCAACAAAATATTCTTCAGGAACGAATGTGTGAAAAGAACACTTACAAATGAAGGAAAACAAAGAGAATGTGTTACTAGCAGACCTAAAAGAATTGCAATCAAAATTCTTCACACAGAAGGCAAACTTCAAACACCAGGAAAGAAGAGAAACAGAAGTAGGTAGACATGTGACCAAATATAAGAGACTATTCAGCTTTGGGATTAATTAAAATATATTGAAAGCAAAAAATTAAACATCGGGGGCCTTCCTGGTGGCGCAACAGGTTAAGACGCAGCACTATGAAGCAATCCACAGCCACTGCAGCATGAGTTCGATTCCCGGCCAGGGAGGTGACCCACATGACACAGCAGACCTCTCCTGTCTCGCCTGCTGCTCCCCTCATTGTAAAATGGTGAAAATACTGATTCTCGGTAGTCCGTGAAGAGTTATGTATGTGTATTTTCATGCCTAATCACGTGAAAAAGTATACAGAGATAGTCAAAAACAATAAATCAGCATTCAAAAAAGATAAACACATGCAATTTGCAGCAACATGGATGGCGCTGGAAGGGATCATGCTCAGCGAAATAAGTCAGAAAGAAAAAGGAAAATACCGGATGGTCTCACTCATAGCAGGAATCTAGAAAACTTAAATAAGGGACCAGGAAAAAGAATAACCATAAGAAAGTAAAAATCAAAATCAACAAACAACTATGAACCAGAGACACTCTATGGGGGGTGGGGGGCGGGGAGGGGAGGGATTGGGGTCAAAATAAGGGGGTTGCAATTGTATGGGAAATATATATATATATAAAAACAATAAATTTTGAATAAATACTAAAAGACTTTAAAATAATTCAAAGGAATGCAAGAAAGCAGAGGCAAAAGTCAGAGGGAAGAAACTGAAAACATGATCAAATGGTACACATAAATCAAAATATACTAGTAGTTACATTAAATGCAAGTGATTTAAACTCATAGCAAGGGCAGATTGGATGCAGCCAGGTGGTCATTGAGCTGCGAGCCTGGCGGGCATGCACACAACCAGCCCAGCCTCCCTGTGCAGCCCAGGCTCCGCACCTCTCATGCTGCAAGGCTGCTGAGCCCGCATGGCCAGGACGATGAAGTGTCCTCTGGGCCAGAGCGTGCTCCCGAGGTCCTAGGACCAAGCGTTCTCTGCCTTTCGGCAGTGGTACCCAAAACCCCATAGCAAGCATGTCTTGACAGAAGGCACAGTCCACCAGGAGGTGACCCCTGACCAGAAGTCCAGTCCCGGAGACTCCTGGTCAAGAGCTGCAGGATGCCCCACTGGGCAGAGCAACTGTCTCCTGCCAGTGTTGTTCACTCGGTGTACAAACTGGAGGACTCTGCTATGGACCCACAGAACCAGACCATCCACCACACCCGGCTGATGGAGGTGGAAGAACAGTGTGTTTACTGTGTGAACTCTGATAACAGTGGCTGGACTGAAATCTGTCGGGAAGCCTGGGTCTCTTCGAACTTGCTGGCATCCCTAGAGCTGTCCAGGAATTTGGTCGCACCAGGTTCAGAAGCAATGGGACTAAAACCATAATGGGTTTTGAATACATCTTGGCCGGCTTACAAGGTAAGGCCCCCTCCAAAACCCTTGTTGAGTCGGCCCTGGAGGTCAAAGAGAAGGCAAAGGGGAGGCACTGGCACCTACAGAGAAGGCCAGCAAGGTGGCCACCAAGTAGCAGCAGTTTGTGAGGCCAGTCCCAACCCTGGTGCAAAAGTACCCAGACCAACCACTCAAATCCCTCTGCCTCTTCCCCTTGTATTTATTAAAAGTCAACTTCCAGCCCTGTCTTGGGGGGGTGGGAAGATGTCCTTTTTGGCATCCACAGCGCACCAGGCACCTTACCCATGTCTGAGCCCGGCCTGCTTATTTCCCTATATTCAGGGCAGCTGAGGACATACCTCCCGAGTGGTTCAGTGACTTGCCAAGGGTCACAGGCAGCGTGCAGGTGACGTGATCAGGTGCTAGACTGTCAGCTTCAGGAGGGCAGGGATCTGTGTTTTGTTCTCTGATGTATTCCAAGTACCTGGAACAATATCTGTCACATAACAGGCATTCAGTAAAGATTTGTTGAATTTTTTAAAATACCAATTAAAAGCCTCAGGTTGTAAGTTTAGGTTGTTCTGGTTTGTTTTGCTTTTCTAAAGGAAACATGACACAACTAGATCTACAATAAACTCATTTCAAATGTCATGATATAGTTAAGTTAAAATAAAAGGACTAAAAAAGATATACCAGATAAACACCAAGAAAAAGAAAACTCAAGGGACCCTATTAAGATATGACAAAGTAGATTACAGAACAAAGAAAATTATCAGCAATAGAGAGATTTAAAATTAGGAAAATTCACAAGGATGCATAATAATACACAATGTATATACACTTGTGTTGGGGGTCTTCAGTACCACCCCCAGTTCAATTATTTCCAAAGAGGATTCACAGCACCCAGATATAGCTATACTCATGGCTAAGATTTATCGCAACTCCTGGGTACTAAGCAAAGTCAGCCAAGGGGGGAAATGCTTGGGGTGAAGCCGAAAGGAAAGCAGCACAAGCTTCTAGGAGCCCTTTCCCAGTGGAGTTACACGTCTCATCTCTCCAGCAACCAACTGTGATAACATGTGCAGTGTTCTCTACCAGCACAGTTCATTAGATGCTCAATGCTAACTCTGGAAATCAAGAAAAAATATCCCTTCTCACCCTTGTGGTTTAATATTGTTTGGAAGCCCTAGCCAGTTCAATAAGGAAAAAAAAAGAGAGAGACATAACTGCCTTACAGTTGAGAGGGAGGCAATAAAACAACCCCATTCTAAATGACATGATTATCTACATAGAAAATCCCATTAATTTATAAAAAATAGTAAAATATTAGAATGATGAGTAAGTTTAGCAACAATGCAGACTGCAAGTCCAACAAATCAAAACTGAACGCATTTCAATATATTAACAATGAGCAATGAAAACCAAAATTTTGTAAATACACACACAATACTGTTTTACAATAACTCCTCAAAAAAATCAAACAAAACATGTGCAGGGCCTATGGATGTTGAAAACTACAAGAAGCTGCTGAAAGAAAAGACCTAAATAAATGAAGAGACATACTGAGTTTGTGGGTTGACAGATTCAGTATAGATTAAGATGTCTGTCATCCCCAAATAGCTCTACAGATTTAATGTAGTTCTGGTCAAAATCTCTGGAGGGTGTTGGTCTTTTGCTTGCTTGTTTGTTTGTTTGTTCGTTTGTTTGTTTGTTTTTGTAGACACAGACTATTTATTTTAAAATATACGTGGAAAAACAGAGGAACTGAATTGTCAAAATAATTTTGAAAAGGAAGAACAAAATTTTTTTAAGAATTACTACAGGGCCTCCCTGGTGGCACGAGGGGTTAAAACACAACCTATGAAGCTAACCGCAGCCACTGCAGCACGTGTTCGATCCCCGGCCAGGGAGCTACCCACATGGCGCAGCAGACCTCTCCTATCTCACCC